ACTCTGGCTACAGTGAGAAAAATAGGCCATAAGCAGCAAGGGTGGGAAACAGGACATCAATTAGGAGGCTACGGAGGTGGTACAAGTGCAAGGTGACCCCTGCCTGGACTGGGATGGCAGCAGTGGAGCTGGTCAGACGTGGTTACATTTAGGATCTATCTGCAAGCGTTGTTTGTGTATTAGATCTAGGGAGGAGAGGAAAAGAAGAAAGCAGGATGGTTCAGGTTTTCCGTTTGTGGAACTGATCGGACGTCGTGCATTTACCGAAATAGGAAAACAATGGGAGACGAGGTTTGGGAGGGAATTCAAGAGTTTGATTTTGGACATGTTGGATGTGAAAGTCCCACTAGATGTCTGGGTGAAAAAAATGAAAGGGGGCAGCCGGATATACCAGCCTGGAGCTCAGGAGAGGTCAAGACTGGAGATAAAAATTCAGGAGTCAACAGCACATAGCTGGTACCTAAAGCCACGGGGCTAAGTGAGGTATTTAGAGAGTGGTTGTACATAAGAGAACTTTCCAGGCACTGAGTCCTGGGAATCCCCAACACTGAAGGTCCAGAGGAGGGGCACAGAAGCAGCGGCCAGTGAGGTGGAAGGGAAAGCAGGTCACTATGGGGACTCTTGCCCCTTTCTGCTTGGCAAATTCTTCTCCATGCTTAAGCTCCAGCTAAAACGGCTCCTCCTCTGGGAAGCCCTCCCTGATTGGGCCAGGCAAAGTTAATTACTCCTTTCTCTGTGACAGGCCCTCTTACAGCATTTACGGCAAAGAAAGGTTAACTTGCAAGCTCACCAGCTAGAGTGGCTGGAAAAAGGAGCCGCTATTAGCTCAAACCCAGGGCGTCTGAGAGCAAACCCCAAGCCCTCGTGTGGCCTTAACGCTGCTTCTTATCTCCTTCCTATGGGGTGCCTGGGGCTGAAGGCGAGCAGGAGGTCAAGAGGACAGAGAAGAAAGAGAAACGCGTTAGCATTTAGGAAAGGTGTCTCCTCCAGACATCTAAGGGAAAGGATCATGAGCCAAGGAGAGAATTAGACACAGAGCTAAAGGAAGATACAGACCAAGCAACAGGATTGGGAAAGAATGTTTTTGAAAGCTGAGCGGAAAACCTTTCCTCTGCATGTGTTTTTCTGCCACATGAATCATCTACCCCCAGATGGACCTTACTGCTGAAGCCAGAGTCACACTGCTGCCCCCAAGAAGACTGACATGGGGATGTGTTGTGGCGGCAGAGGGGGGGGGTGGGTAGCAGTGTGGCTGGGCGATGACGGGGGCCGGGCTGGAATGACAGGGTTGCCACGTTCCCTAGGCAACAGATTACAGGAAACCTGCCCACAGCCTGAGCCGTGCCAGCAGCTGCTCCGGGCCACCACAGTTTCCCAAGTAGTTATTGTGGCTATGATTGGAAAGGGGGCACAATCACATGTTTAAGATAAATGTAATGTGGTTGGCTAGAGTCTATGTCCTGGAATGCTGCAGTGTGGGCCGGGGCCAGGCTACAGGCAAAGGGGGCTTCACGACAAAGAAATAATTTATTATACCTGCACAGCACATTATAGTTTGCAAAGTCCTTTGTACTCTTTATCTCATGTGGGGCGGACAACAGCACTGTAAGGAGGGTGAGGAAACCGAGGCACAGAGAAGTTAAGTGACTTATGTAAGATCACACAGCAACTCGATAGCAGAACCATACCTTCTCCCTAAATCTCTGGGTTTCAAATCACTTCAGGTATTTGAAACCCAAACTAACAAGTGTTTTACCAAGTGATAAGAATAAAGTAACTAAGAGAGGCCCCCAAGGGAAAAAGAACAGTCTTTTCTCAATCACTGTGAATCTGAAATGCAGGGTAAACCAAATTTCAAACACCTAACACTTTATGCCTTGTTGAAGTTTTTCACCTATAATACGTCACGCTACCCCTAAGAAGGCAGGTGGGGAGGTGAGTGTAGGCGATTCAGACAGGGAGACAGAGGCCCAGGGTGGTGAAGAAGCTTGCCCAAGGTCACATAGCTGGAAAGAGGAAGAGCTTCTCCTTTGGAATGTTACTTCCAGCCCAGGGCTCATCCCCTGGCCCCCAGGTCTGGAAGCATTTAGTGTGGTCAAGCAATGGAAAACAGATATGGGGCCTGTGGTTCCGTTTGCTAGACGTGATCTGTCCAAACCAGTGGCTCCCTCCCTGTCTGCCCTCCAATTCCTCACAGTGTGGGCCCCTGGTTCCACCCCAATGACTGCCCCGTGCGTCCTGTCCACAGCAGGATAGGCAGCGAACAACCACCCTGGCCCCTCCCCGCTGCACGCTCACTGTGCCAGGGCTGTGTGGCTTGGCTGTGCATGCTGGGCCCACATGATACTCCTGGAATAGCTGTCACCGTCAAACAGATGTGACCACATGGTCCCCTGGGATGACCCCTGGATGCCTCCACGTTGCAACTATCTCCTGCCCCCAATCTTCTCATGGCTTGGGATAAGACGCGTTTTCTCTATTCCTATCTCTAAATCCTGCCCACTTACCCTTTCTAATGCGTTAAGCTGCCTACCGGATGGCTGAGCTGGGCATCCCACCTGGGACCCAAAGCCTGAGGTCCAAGTGCCTAAGGACAGATCTTCAGATGACAGCCATCCCCTCCTGGAACTGATCACTGCCTGAATTGCCCTCCAAAGGGTCCCACCAGCCTGCCTGGAAACCCTGCTGACCAGTGCCCAGCCCCAGGGGCTCTCTGTTTGGCCTCTCTGTTTGGCACCTGCACCTGGGGACCAGCCCCCTCTCTTGCTATTGAATTAACAGCCCATCCATTAGAGACGCTGCCCCACTGCGTCTCCTCTCCTTGCTCCACACCACCCGCTGCTCTCCCGCCTTAGACGGAGGACGAGGAACAGCCCAGACAAATAGTGTGTATTTACACTGGCATCTGCAGCAATACACAGGAAACAGCCCCAACACCCCACCTCAACATGCAGTGGAGGAGAATGTTGAAAAAGACTGTATACTTTATAGCAGCGTTTTTATAAATCTCAAAACCAAGCAAAATGAAACAATATACTGTTCGGGGATACATTCGTGCATCACAAAAGGATTTTTAAAAACAAGGGGATGATACACATAAAATTCCGGAAAATGGGATCGGGACAGCACAGTAGTTGGCAATCTTGAACGGGGAGGGGCGGGGCGGGGCGGGGCGGGGCGCGTTTGGGATGATCATTCTGTTGTTCTGCTCCGTAGCTTACACACATGCTCTGTGTATTCTATTTATACGTCGGTTGCCACAAGTAATTCTAAAGATGAGATGGACAGGGTCCCAGAGGGTCTTGCTATCTGCTCCCCATTCTGATTTATCTGGTGCTGGGAACCTGTGTGTCTCCTGAGCGCCTGGACTCCAGCTTCCCCGACACCCACTTCGTAGACGGATGCCCTGAGCAAACCCTCTGCTGTCACTCCCGCTCCCCGCCCCCACCTGGGCTCAGCCCACCACACCGTGGCCCCTGCCCCGTCACTCCCCTGGAGACCTCGAAGCTCAGTGGGCACTTTCAGTTCTGGTCCCGTGTGACATCTCAGCATTCGCCGCTGCCGTTCCCTGCCCGCTCCTTCTCCAGGCACGCCTTCCTTGGCACTTAGGGTGCTTCCCCTCCTGATATGCCTTCTATGTCTCAAGCCCCTTCTTGTTGACCTCCTTTGCTGGTCCCCCCACCCGAGCCGCCTCTCCCTTGCCTGAATGGTGGTGCCCACGGAGATCTTCTGAGGCCCCACCTCCCTGCAGCCTCACGTGGCCTGAGTCACTGAATGCTGATGACTTCCCAGCCCAGCCCCGGCCTCTCGCTCCTGAACTCCAGGCCCAAATGTCCGACTGTCCACTCAACCTCTCCACTTGGATGTCACACGGGCACTTCAAGGGCATGGTCAAGTCCAACTCCTGACCTTCCCCACACAAGCCCGGTCCCCTTCCTGAGGTTTGTATCCATCCATCCGAGTGCCTGAGCTCCTGGGAGTCCGTGTTGGCTCTCCGCTGCTCCCTCACCACCACACTCCCCCCACCCCATCTCCAGCCCAGCCCTTCCACTTCCAGAACGGCTCTCAGACCTATTCTCTCCACCCACACTGAGACCTTCCTCATCCTAGTGAACACCACCTCTTGCTTGTATGAAAGCCATCGGTTCATCAGCCTCTGCTCACAGCCTTGCCCAATCCACTCTCCCCTCTGCCTTTGGTTTCTTCTTTGTAACGTGCGAACCCGAGCATGCCAGTCCCCGCGACCACCCTCTGGGGGACCCCTCAGCCTTCCGCGACTCGGCCACTACCGACCTGCCCGGCCTCCTCTTCCCTCGTCTCCCTCCAAGCTCTGCCTCAAACCCCACCCGCCAACCACACTGAACCTCTTTCAGTTCCTTGAATTGCCTGGTTGCCCCCGGAACACCGTCTCCCCCAGCCCAATCCAGAAATCTCCCGCTCCATCCAATTTCCGCTCCTGCAAAGCCTTCCCAGACCACCCTCACTCTCACCTAGAGGACGTTAGATGGCCCCACAATGTCACGGTGCCCAGTACATTTCTTACTCTACTCTAGCACTTTATACCAGGTGCTTCGTAAACCATGTGTCTCTCATATTAGTAAATTCTATGCCTCGGCCAGTGGAGACCTGACTTACTGTCTCCCCAGTACCTGCGACAGGGCCTGGCCCCTACTAAGCAGGTGGTAAAACATGCTAGAAGGGAGAATGAATAAATGAACGGCAAGCACTGTGCTTTATGTATGTTATTTCATTTAATTCTTACAAGAGTCCTTTAAGGGAGGTAGTCTCGTCTTACAGGTGAGAGAAGGGAAATAACTTGCCTCAAGTCACACAGCTGGCAAATAGAAAGTTGGACCCAGGTTTAACCCCAAAGACCACACCAGCACCCACCCCTGCCAGCCTCTGGCCATGCCGCCCCACCCCTCATCTCGCAGGAAGCTGGGAGCCCTCCAAAGGCCCCATCAAGGTTGGGAACTCAGGTGGAGACAGGCGAGGGTTACCTGGAAGCATGTGGGCCCCGGCCTCCCTGCAGGGATGTCCGACTGGTAGAAAACCTTGAGCTCTGGAGTCAGGGCAATGACAGTCTTAATCACCAAGGAGATGATATCAGACCAGACCTTCTTGATGTCAACACCTTTGGAAGACAACCTACAAAGAATGCTAGAAAAAGTCCGTTTGCTGCCCGTGCTAGTACTGTCCGAATGGACAAAGTTACCACTATGGATGTTCAGCGAGTAGTTGGTTAAGTGCATAAAGATGTGGTGCAGATTTTTGGGGTTGGGCTCCTGATATGGCTCCGTGCAAAATCTAGAGAGTCCGTCTTTGGCTATATAAATCTCTAAGGGGTCTAAGGACTTGAGTAAGACATACAGACGAATATCAAACTTGAGTTTGTCGATAAGAAGAGGTTTGCAGATGTACTCCTGGACCACCGCTGGCCTGCTCTGAAGGGTCCCTGCCAGGCGGATGTCACTGGGGTCTTTAATGAGGTAGATTCCATCACCCTGACAACCACCATCAGGTTTCACAATAAAAGTGGGCTTCCAGGATGGGTCACCGTCTTTCACCATTCGAACCTGGTGGGGGAAAAAAGAATGGCTGCATTATATTCTGGACCCCCAAGTCAGAGCAAGACCTCAGCAAATGTTTCGTGAATGAGTGACAAAGTGAGCCCTGCCTCTGTGAGCATTCACTGAGCACCAGGGAGATAATACTGTACTAGGTACCAAGATAGTGACCTAAAGACTGCCCTTGGCCTTGTCCTCCAGAAGGGGGACTGAGAGTCAGGCAGATCTGAAGTCACAGGAGCTAGGTTCAAATCCAGGGTCTTTGTCAGTTATGGAGTCTAACCCCAGACAAGTCATTTAACTCATGGTTCTATGATGATGGTAAGGAGGAAAAGGAAGATGACGAGGAGGAGGAGGAGAAGGAGGAGGATGGCTAACACCATTTATGAGTGCCTATTACGTGCCAGATAACTCCACTAGGCACTGCACATTAGTTACCGAGTTTACCCCTTACAGAGAATAGGATTCTCTTTTTACAACATAGGAAGCAGAGAGGGCACAGCAGTTGTTAAGAGTGTGGGCACTGGAATCTGACTGCCTGGGCTCGATCCTGGCCCTGCTGCTTACTGCGTGACCTTGGGCGAGTTACTTAAGTTCTCTGTGACTCCCTCAGTCTGTAACATAGCAGTAAGATAGCAGTAAGATTGCACTGAAGAATAAATGAGATAATGAACGCAAAGGTCTAAGCACACCGAACCTGACTCATGAAAGGCAGCCACGAAGCCTAGCTATTCCTAACTGTTAAGGATGAAGTGATTTGTCAGCTGAGGGGTAGAAGTGGGATTGGAATCTCGATCAAGGACTCTACAGCACCTGCACCTTCCTCTACCCTGCCATGTCTCTGTTTCTTCCTCTTCAAAATGGAGATCTACAAACCTACCCTCACTGCCTCGCGGTAAAGAAATAAACTAAAATGTGCAAAGGGCCGAGCCTAAGACCGAACGGGGAGCTCGTGCGGGGAAATGTTCATGCCATCATTTATATCTATTACTCAGTTCATCTGGTAGACTGGGCCCATCCTCCTCCAGTCTGTGGAGATCTTTTTGAAACTAGATTCTGCCATCCATAATGTCTGCTGTCTTCCCATCTCCAGGTCAGCAGGACATTCACACAATTATCCAGGGCACTTGACCAGTCCAGACAGTCAGTCTGGATCTGCAGGTCTGCATAATTCATATGCACCCAATTCCCCCGGACACTTGTCAGGTCCTCTGTGCAGCTGTGGACTGAATGGCGCGCTGGGGGAGGGGAGCTGGAGGAAACGCGGGGGTGGATGTGAAAGGGGCAGCCAGTCTCTCTGCAGCTTGTGATGTGCCGGACCCCAGAGCAGGCCTTCCATTCTGAACTCTGTAACTCAGAGCCGAGCCTGGGGGGGCCGAGGAGGTGGCGGGCCCCAGCACTGGGCTCGCCCCAGCCCTCCACCTTTGCTGTGTAAGCTCAGCCCAGGACATCTGCACTCTGGGTTGTACTTATCTCTCTGGCCAGCCTATATTTCTAAGTGAAGCTTTTGCCAATTCCTTGGGCACTATCGGTTACTCCGGGCTTGTAAAAGATCTTTAACAATGGAGAAACACTTAAAACCTTAATAATGGTCCACATCAATTGTTTCCCCTTGTCAGCAGGATTTGAGAATGGAAGTTCACGAGAGATCAATGCAAGCCTCCCAGGGCCCTCCACTGAGCCTTTCTTGCAACTGTGACCTTGACGTTTATGTAGTTATTTAATATTCATCCAAAGCATTCATACATTTGGCCCTTCACAGTAAATATAAGCATTCTGGAGAAATGGCAGTTATGGATCAGGAAGTGAAAAATGTCAAGTTTGCAGTGATGGATAATTTTTCCCTCTGGAAAGCTTTTACTATGCCAAAGATACTAACAGTTCAATATATTATCGGGAGCAATATTTTCTCCTTTGAATTCAGTGTATATGCCTTAAATAAATTAAACTACGTGGTCAATAGTCTCTGTCATTCATTGCATTACTGAATATTTCTTCTGCTCTTTGCCAGAATAGGACCATACAAATCATGATTATTAATACTAATGGGATCATTGAAATTTTAGAACTGGAAGGATCCTCAGAGATCAATGCCATCCAGTCCTCCCATAATTCAAACTGGGAAGCTGACCTACCTGGCTGGTGGGATGGTTCCGAGGAGATGGAGGCTGTCTGACCTCACCTCAGGTTCTCTATGCCAATTTACCTCTACAACATAAAATTAAAGGCCTCTTTCTCCCGAATACTATAGGGAAGGTTCTCTTCATGTGGCAGACAGTTGGGATCTGAACTCTGGCTGTACAATAAGGGGGCTGGCCCCCGAGCACGGCCTTCTTGGAGCTGTAACCACAGATGCTGAGTTTGCCAGGACTTCCCCAGTTCCAGAGCTTCTCTCAGGTTCCTAGCTTCTTACGATAGAGGCACAGTCTATGGGAAAGCCTCATAGCTCTTCCAAGTGGGGTTCCCATAGCCACCAGATCCTTCAGTGACTTCTATTTTTAAAAGGGAAAGAGATTTTCCAAAATTCATATTCACTCTCCTCCGAGGTTTTACTCAAGGGTGGCCCTTTCCCTCCGGTTATTAGAGTCAAGCGCTAATGCACTGGTTCTTAGTGAACTCGAGGACCGGAATAAAAATACAGTCTATAACTAGGCCTCAGCCCGAGAGAGAGTCTGATTTAATAGATCTGGGATGAGACCTGGGCATGTGTATTTTGGAAAAACATGACGAGTGATTCTGATGTTCCCTTAGCTTGAGAATCGCTGAATCAATGTGAATTAAAGAAAAATACAATCTGGGACCAACCTAGAGAATGAAGTTTTCTGCATTGATGTTAGCCTGAACCCGAGGAAGACCGGCACGTAGGCTACAGCTGATGGTATCTCCAGTTTTACCCAGGGCTGCTGTTGGACGTGAAATCCATTATCTTGTAACTATGCATGGGTGGTTGAAAGAGATGCAAACAGGATGTGGTGGCCTGACCGCTTGCTACTCATCCGGCCTAAGGGAAAATTTATGTGTCTTTTACTGCCCCCTAGTGGATATCTGAGAAATGTGACTGGGAAAAGACCCCAGTTCAAAATTCTGACTTTTAGCAGTAACCCGCTCTACTAATAATGGTCTTAAGGAAGCACCACCACAAAGAGCAACCTCAGTAGACTGTTACGGTAAGATCATACTTGGAATGAACTCCTCTCTGAAAGACTAGGGCTGGCCAAGGTCATATTCCGTGTTCACGCTCTCGGTTCCTTAAATACATTCCACGTTGTTTTCCCTACCACATAGATGGGACTATCTGTCAAAATTCTCTCTCAGGATGTATAAAACTTTTAAAATTATGGGCAGCATGAATATAACATCCTGTAAATATATATCACCAAAAAAAAAAAAATCCATGACTTCTATACTCTTCATTGTGCCTTTTTGTATTTTCCAAACTTTCCATTAGGAAAAAAGAAAAAAAACAGAGGAGTGTGGCAAGGGTGGGCAGCAGCAAGGGTCTCTAAATGTAAATGTACAAGGAATACTTCTCGGTGAACCGATATTTGTATATCCGTGTTCGTATCAGCATGACTCATAATAGCCAAACCTGAGTGTCCATCAACAGATGAGGGGATGGACAAATTGTGCTATTCCCGTCCAATAGAAGATCATTCAGCCATAAAAAGGAAGGAAATTCTGACACCTACTACAACATGGATGAACCCTGACATTATGCTCAGGGAGATAAGCCATCACACAAAAGGACAAACACTGAACGGTCACCCTTACATAAAGTACCTAGAGGAGTCAGAATTCATAGATACAGAGTAGAGTGGTTACCAGAGACTGAGGGGAGGGAGAAGTAGAGAGTTAGTGTTCGGTGGGCACAGAGTTTCAGTGTGGGGAGAGGAAAAGAGTTCTGGAGACGATGCTACTCAACTATACGCTTAAAAATGGTGAAGATGGTAAGTTTTATGTTATGCATATTTTACTGCAATGTTTTTGTTTTTAATTTTTTTAACGTTTATTTATTTTTGACACAGAGAGAGACAGAGCATGAGCAGGGGAGGAGCAGAGAGAGAGGGAGACACAGAATCCGAAGCAGGCTCCAGGTTCCGAGCTGTCAGCACAGAGCCCGATGCGGGGCTCGAACTCACAAACCATGAGATCAAGACCTGAGCCAAAGTCGGACGCTCAACCGACTGAGCCACCCAGGCACCTCAGTTTTTTTAAGTTTTTAAAAAATTTTTTTTTTCAACGTGTATTTATTTTTGGGACAGAGAGAGACAGAGCATGAACGGGGGAGGGGCAGAGAGAGAGGGAGACACAGAATCGGAAACAGGCTCCAGGCTCTGAGCCATCAGCCCAGAGCCTGACGCGGGGCTCGAACTCATGGACCGCGAGATCGTGACCTGGCTGAAGTCGGACACTTAACCGACTGCGCCACCCAGGCGCCCCTAAAAATTTTTAATAAAAACATGCAAATAAATAGCTTTTTGGTGAGTTAGGAGGAAAACTGAAATAAAAAAAAAAAAGCAGAAAATCTGATTTCTAGCCCCAATTTAGTCAGGTCATTTCTGATGGTGTGACCTTGAGACAGTCATCTAACCTCCTGGGCTTTGTTGTATTCACCTATAAAATAAAGAGGTCACACTAAGGTCCCTGGCTTCTGCCATCTAACAGGTTCTGAACATTGATTTATCTTGATATCACCGGAGTTGAAGGCTGTGTTACAAACACACAAGGGACATTCATCAGCGGACAGTTTATGCTGTGCCACCGTGAGGAGTGCAGCGGTAAGATCTCCAAGAGCAGGAGATCTGGATTGGAGATTTATGATGCACTTGAGGAAGTCAGCTGGGCATCTGGGGGAAGCAAGCTAAAATATTTTGAGAGAGAAATTCAGCAACTGGAATACTAAGCCACAAAACATCATTAGCAGCGAGGGCAGCTGAGAGGACAGTTGCTGAAGAAACACTGTGTCTGCAACACCAGGGAAGTCGAAGCCGGTTGGAGCGGTCCTCTGT